ATTAGGCCACACGGTCTCTCCAAGCATCCCCTGTTTTCCCCCAGTTTTAACAGACGTGATGCACCCTGCATTGATATCGATTTTCCTGCTGGAGTATCTCCGTCTCTTTCACGCGACGGCAGCCGGATGGGGTGGATCTCTGCTCTTGCTCTTGCACCGCAGTGACGGAGGGTTGCAGGAAACTGGGTCGTGGCCCTTAGAAACGGAGGGTTGAAGGTAAAAGGTATGTCAGATAATGTGTAATCCGGATCGAAGGACTAGCTTTATCGGCTGAAAAATGAAAAAAGAAACTGTTATAGGAATACCTATTTCCGCCGATATGTAGCGGGTGTTGATCTCCTTATTTTTCTAGCCTATTGTTGTTTAATTTCCCGAGCCAATTGCAAAGAATTTATGCTAGTCGATAAGAATTCCGAAATATTACATCTTTGGATATTACTTTTGTCCGTCCGACCACAGACGGCCAACCGAGGCTAGCTGTTCCGTGCTTTTTGACATGCATGGTCTATTTTTGGTCTCAGGTTGGCTACGAACGAAAGCATAGCAACAATCCTCTACCCGAGGTATGAGATTTATCGCGAAATAAGAGACCACAAAGCGCCATCTACCTGTATTGCCAGCACCGACCATTGCAAGAGTTACTTAATAGCAACTATCTACTAACTGTAAAGATATCAGTTTGAGTTTGATAGGCTAATCGTCACTGTAACCGCTAGCGGCTGGCGATGGCGGTATAGCAGATGCCTACCCGCCATAATTTTAAGTGACTTTTACATCACGAAAAAATCATGTCCCTTATTTTCGTTGGTGTGTCTGTTTGTGTGCCGGTCTGTCTTTCTGTCTGCTACTCCTTAACCCCCATAACTACTATGCCAAGACGAAAAAGCCTTGTAGGTTTTGAAAATCGATCCAGTGCTGACAGCGCCACGACCAACAAATGAAAAAATTAAATTATACCAAACTTCTTTTTTTTTATGGTTATGACTGCTCAGTTTGACCCACCGAGTCGCTACTCCAGCCGACAAAATTCATCCAACCTCCACGGCCCAGAGTTTGCTTCGCCCCGTTACCGTCGCCTTCTCTTGTAACATATAATTAACCGAACACAGTCTAATTGATTGAAAAAGTACAAAGAAGTACAAAGTCAACATACTTGATGCTATTTTTTGAATGAAATGTTTTTTTCAACATCTGTGCATATTTATGAAAAGAAGATAAATCAGCGCGACGTTCCACGAAACCGTAGGTGTCATTAATTTAGATAAGAGAAATTATGCCAAAATGTTTGGAAATGGTTTTCAATATATGCGAAACTAATCAGGATTGTCAAACAATTACCATAACTACATTCAAGTCTGTCAAAACTTTGAGTATTACTCAGAGTATGAAAATTTCAGAATATGAAAACCTGACAGCTACTATAATATGTTGTTAGTTATGTAGAGCTGGCTAGTCTGAGTATACTTCAAGCTACAGCCACTTCTATTTTACAGTATATAGTTATACGATTGTATAACACCTCTCTTCGGCTCCCCTGTTCGAGCGAAACACCTGCAGTTCAACAAATATAACTCACTTTCCGACCACAAAAACCTAAATATCGAGATGCAGCAACTTCTACCATGAAGAGGTGGAAGTCACATTTGATGTTGATTTTTGAACTGTTAGAGCTTAGTCGAACTAGAAGAAACATCTTTAAGCTAATTGCTCCACAATGTCAAAATCCTAGCTATACCAAAGTGGTCATATCAACCAGTTTTTGATGAATCGCCTACTGAAACATTGTCAATAAACAGGATTGGGGTCCCGTAAGTTTAACCATAGACTGTTTTTCCACTTTTTTTAACACGCTTTTATTAGTTTGGCCTGTATGTGTGTATGTATGTAAGGGAATCTTTGAGCATAATTTTCACCAATTTCCAGAAGTTTGATCAATTCGAAACTTTGCACACGTATCAAGGACCGATGAAAATGCAATAATTTGGTAACATTTTTCCATTATCCTTATTAGGACCGCCAGGATTGATAAATTTTTTTATAGATTCTCTGTAGGAAGTAAGAGAGATAGAGCTAGCACGCGATCTGCGCATGCGTGAAGTTTCTGACGAGGCACAGCACAACGGAGGCAGATAGTTTTTCAAGGTAGTGCATTCTCACCTTGTTCATTGCGAATGTTGCTATTAATCATTAATCCTGAGTTGGGCTTCGAACGCCCACAAGGTTCAAGGCTGTACAGTCGGTCATGCAGTCATTTATCAATGCTCGCGACTATTTGCTGCTGGACAAGCTTATATAACACTTAGTCGTATAAGATCTTTAGACGGTATTCGGATTGAAGAACTTGATGTCTGTAAGTTAACAGGTAAAACCCCATACAACAGTGAAGCTCTAAATGAAATGATTAGATTACGAAATGATTCCTAAGACATTCCAATACCACATCTCCGCAAAACACTGATTGATAAATCGAACTAAAAGATGAAAAATAAATAATAGTTTAAATAAAACTAAAAAAACACGCTTTTGTATCTAACCGAAGTAAAAAGTAGAAAATAATTTTTAATTACAAAGAGTTTATATTACAGTAGTAGATGGTCGAACAATCAGTCATAATTAATGACCTTAAAATAAAATTATAATAAAATTTAAGTTATTAACAGAATAATTCAATTCAGACTAAAAAGCATCGGGTGAATTTTACTACATTTTCATAGCTCTCCTCTCATAGATAGTTGCCAATAGAATTATTGTAACAGTTAATATATCAAGCACCCCACGCTTTTTACTCCGAATTGAATTATTCTGTTAATAACTTAAATATTATTATAATTTTACTTTGACCATCATCGACCATCTACAACTGTAATATAAACCCTTTGTAATAAAAAATTATTTTCTACTTGTCAGTTCGATTAGCTCTACTAAAAGCCTGTTTTTTTTTAGTTTTTTTAAACTATTATTTATTTCTCCTTAAGATAGGACATAAATGTATGTATTGTGATACCAATCGCTAGCTGATTGTTTAAGTATAAGAGTAGCGAATGCGAAACTTCGCAAATCAGTTAGTCTATTTCCAAATAAAGATGATTATTATTATTATTAATTTAATGTGTACGAGCGATATATAGAGAGAAATACGTACGTATGTTAGAGCGAGAGCGCGAATGAAGCGTTCATAGACTCATAGACAAATTAAACACCTGACCTCACTGATTCTCTACGGATCATGTATGTAACCCATTTTCCGAGGTCTTGAGCCTGTGATAGCAAAGGTAGAGCCTGTATACCTGTTTTCATCGCTGAATCGCCTGCTGTTATAATGCCAATGGTCTGATGATTCTCTCTAGAACTCCCCGTCTGGGTTCTACCCAAACTGGAGCGAAACATATTTGTTCCAGCAATGATGTAACCCGTTTCCCAGACACAAACATGTTTGACCCAACAATAGTGTAGACCATCCCCCATGCAAAAGAGCCTCTGTTACACAATCTTAACACCCCAGGAGTAAGGGAGTTGTCATACTGGCCAGTTCTTCTTGACAACTTCTGGTAGTTGGTACTTGCGAAGACAGAATCTGAATAGCGAGGTACCGCGACTGTTATAAGAAGGTTGAAGTTTATCTGATTTGGTGATGTATTGTCAACTTTTTTATTTCTCTCCATAGAGCTCCCCTGTCTGGGTTTTACCCAAACTGGAGTGAAAACTGTTTGGCCCAACAATATTGTAGACCATCTCCCATGCAAAAGAGCCTCTGTTACATAATGTTAACATCCCAGGGGTAAGACAGTTGTCATACTGGCCAGTCCTTCTTGAAAACTTCGGGTAGTTGGCACTTGCGAAGACAGAATCTAAATACCGAAGTACCCCGACTGTTATAAGAAGGTTGAAGTTTATGTGATTTGGTGATGTATTGTGAACGTTTTTATTTCTCTCCATAGAGCTCCCCTGTCTCGGTTGTGCCCAAACTGTAGTGAAAAATGTTTGGCCCAACAATAGTGTAGATCATTTACCATGCAAAAGAGTCTCTGTTACACAATTTTAACACCCCTGGGGTAAGGGAGTTGTCAAGAATCTAAAGACCGAGGTACCGCGACTGTTATGCGAAGGTTAGAGACACTCTGTTATTAGTATTTGTAGTCAGGGCTAAAAGCGCGCGGACTTGAATGAATTGCATAGGAAAGCGAGGATTCTTAGAGATTTAAAAGTTATTCAGGCAACTGGAACGAGATAAAATCCTGGAAACGTAATTATAATTAAAAAACCAAGTTTATTTATTTATATATACATATGTATGAAACTTGACAATAAATTCTCATTTACACATTTGAAGATATAAAAATTAGTATCTAACATAACTAATTGATAATTCATGTAGCAAAGAGATTACATGTCTGCTTATAATTAACTTAACTGCTCTAATATGCTATATCTTACATATAAAAAATAAGAGATCTAAGAAATATCACAATAAATACATGTTATTTTCTATATATCTTTATAATGTTCCAAATAGTATTTATGCACATTTAAATTTATTTTTATAGTACTGTAGCTATCAACACTAAATGTAGTGGGAACACGTCCAGTTTTGTAGAGATTAAAGTGTACAAAGAAAAAACCCTTACATATATATATATATATATATATATATATGTATACAAAATATTTGTGCACAATGGCATTAACAATACTGTAGATGCACAGTTTTTCATTATAATACAATATAGGTTATACCATAGTTCATTCTAGAAATTATGTCCCTGATAAAAAAATTAAATGGAAGTTTTAAAAGATTATTAATGAGTAGTGGGTTCATCTGTGAATTTATAATTGCTGATTTACTGATTTTTAAAATGAATCGTTTTTGTTAACCTTTGCCTAATTCTGTCTGTTATTTGATTTTTTGTGGAATTTATGTGGTGAAGCCGAATAGTGAAATAATTTTTCATGATAAGTCTGACCAATTGAATGATATGTCCATCAAGTGGGTCTTGCTCTAGAGAGTGCTTAGATAAACATAAAAAGACCTTGTTCAAATTTAAATTTCTCATTGCAGCAGAGACCAATCTTAACATTATATTAGGATGAAAAAGTTTGTTTCAGTTTTTATTATACCTTTTGCATCCATACAAATTTTTACAACATCTTTTGTAGGCTTGATTAAACCTCCTCTATTTTTCCGATTCAGCAGCATGCAATCAGAATCAGATGTTGTCACTATTCTCTTCTCCTTAAGTAGTTCATCTACCAGACTATTCAGACTTTTTATTTTATTTCCTTGTCTACGAATTTTACACTGATTGTACTTGTTAATATTTTTGTACTTATGAACAGTTTCATGAGCAGTTTTCCAAAATCTCTTCCTACGCTGCACATTATTTTAATCAAAAATTTTGAAATCCCCAAAGTATACTGGTGATCTTCTGACCCTACAAACAAAAAGAGGTTATAACACATGAGAAACACAAAGTTCAATGACAATTACCTTAAATTGCATATGCTTGAAGGTTGAAGGTTCACTTGATTCTAAAAATCCTAGTTTTTGTGTTACGTTTGAAGGACCAGCTGCCAATATATTTCCATCATCAGCATGATCTCCATTTTCAGGTTCTTCTACTACTTCACCAATAGCCAAAGTTTGTTCTAAAAATAATTACGTTATTAACACCCACTTCATCGTTGTAAATATCTTTTTTAAAAGTAGAAAAGTGAAAACCTTAAGCTTAGACTGGGAATATTTTAAAGACCATACCTGTTGCTTTTGAGTTGGATTCTTCAGGTTTTCTTTTCAAAACCCTTCGATGGCTAGGTTCCTTCTTGAGATGGGCTGGAAAATCAAACACAGATGAAACTGCTACCTTTTTTAGTACCTTATTTCCATGAACACTAACTTCATAATCCTCTGGAGTGAAATGCTTTTCACAAATTACCGTTGTTGTACTGGGAGTAAAGTTTTCTCTTCTTATAGCATGTAACCACAATTTCCTCATGTTAGGATCTGTAGGTATCCTAAAAATCCAGATATTTTCTCGAATTACCAATTAACAGGTAATTCTCACACAAAAATGAATGAGATGATTAAAACCAACCTGTGAAACTTGATTTTCACATCTTTTCTGCGTCTATTGCAACAATTCACCGCACTGCAAGATTCAACCATTTTTAAACAATTATCACATAAAACAACAGCTCTTGAAGGCTGTCCGGTATAAAAATGTTTATAATAATTGTCGCAAACTATCACTATTAATCTCTAACGTCACTAAAAACAAACATTCACCAAAAATCCTTAGAACGTATATGGAAATACCACAATGGACCACGATGTTTTGCCAATGTTTTGCCCTGACTAGCGCTATCCTTCTCGTTTCTCATTCTACCCGCAATGAATTCGCGTTACGCCTGTTCCATCAGTGTTGACAGTTCATTGACTGTAACCCATTTCCCAGGCGCAAGAGCTTCTGCACCACAATGTTGGCACCCCATGGATGAATGAGAAGTCATCCTGGAAGGTTGTTCTCGGCGGCATCGGGTAGTTGGCAGTGGCGAAGACAGAATCTAAATACCAAAGTACCGCGACTGTTACAAGAAGGTTAAAGACACCCGGGTAATCCGATTCGTTGATGTACTGCCAACGCTATTATTTCTCCCCTGTCTGGGTTGTACTCAAACTGGAGCGAAAAATCTTTAATCCAACAAATGTAACCCATTTCCCGGGCACAAGAGGCTCCGGCAGCCGACGAATAAAATACACAAATGGCACATTGTGCGGTCTGAATTTACAAAGCGCCGGCAAGTCGAAAAGATTTCAATATACATCCACTGTATGTAGCAGATATTTGTGCATGGAATTCGATAGAAAGGCTCGCCCGATTCGGAGGCATTATCATGAAAATTTACACTTGTGCACTCCAAGGCGCTCTCCAATGTGGATATATGGAAAATGCCATTGAAAATGTTTTTGTGAGGGGGGAAAGGAAACTTTCGTCGGTTGAATTTAATTCAGTTTCAGTAAGTATCGATTCTTGATGTATTGTATGCGGAGGAAACGTGTTTTTCTTGTCGAGGGACACCCTACAAAAGAGGAGCTCACCTGGGGATTTCTGCATTAGTATGAATATCATTACATTATGGATTTTCACCTGTCACTCAACCAGACAACTTCTGAACAGAACATATTTTCTTCTGCATACAAAGTTACGAACTTACTTTGACAATATTTCTCAATTTTCTGGATACTAAAGTTGATCAAACTAAAACGAACATTTCGAGTGACAAAACTTTGAAAAGTATAATGGCAGCAAATTTTCGAAATTTCTTGGCGTACGTCACGAATCCGACATCAGTTTTGCAATGTAATGGATGGGAGACCTCTTTACGTCTATTTTATGTCATGAATGGGACTTCGCGATGCGTTCAGCATCTGCAATAATAATAGTAACTATCCTTCTTGGGTTGAACAAAAGGTAGAGTTCACATTGCGTGCTCTTCCATTCAACCTTACGAAGATACAAAACAAAATGGAACAAATAAAATAATAAAAATAGAAAGTATGAGTTGAATGTTTCACTGAGTCAACTAAAGGGTAAGAATTTAATATACATATGAACGATAACATTTCATTTTTGCTGTTTTTTTTAAAATAAGATTTAATTGTCGTCTTAAATGGGAGTTCCCTCAGCTCCACAGACTCCTGAGGCATGTTGTTATATTCCTTAGCTATTTGATAGCTGAAACTCGTTTCATATAATATATATATATATATATATATATATATATAGTATGGATAGGTAATATTAATAGAGTTAACTTTTGACCGAAATTTAATTTTTTTATACACTACCCAACTAACAATTATCACTCCTATTAGAGTTGCAAGAATGATTATACAGTATTCCTTAAACAGCATTGTATACTGTACGAACATTGGCAAAACCCTCTCAGCTATACAAACGGAATGGGCACACCTAACAGGACACTTCAGTCATTTAAGAGGTTAAATAAGGGCTGCATGCAACAGTTATAAAACAAAAGTGTAAGCCTCTTGCAGCCGCTATAGGACATTTGCGTCAGTGCAAGATTCAGTTTTTGTCAACTATACAACTATTCTGTTACGTGATTCTACTTTATTGCAACCAAACTATTTCTTATGTATTGTATAGACGAAGTGAAGAATATATAACTAACACATTACTGTCATCTTGTTTACTTACATATCGGCCATTGTGAATTTCATACCCAGGTATATGATAAACTTCTACACTGTGATATAGGGTTATTGAATTACTTGGGCAGCGAATTTTATTGTGATTATCGTGCAAATTAGTTACCCAATTTCTACGGGCTTCGTATTTGATTCATATTTTGACAATGATCAAAAGTATGTCTAGATTTTTAAGATGGAAGACTGAACTTATCTGCGTTAAATCTTCCACAAATCCTATATTTAGACACAATTACACTAATGTTTATCACTTTATATCTGAAATTTCGAACTGAAACATAATTATTTAATATTAAATAGAGGAATAAATGTTTGCCCAATATGGCGGGTGGTTGTGTACAATCATGGCATCGTCCATGTTGTCTTTAGGTTATTAGAATATTTTGGTCTTGCCTGCAGGTGTTATACAACAATTTGACAAATGTCTGAAATGAAATACCGACAGAGTCGAATGATTTACTCAGAATTTGTACCAGATCTATATCTTCTGTTTGAACAGTTGATAAAACCTTTTGAACCAATATGCATGCGTTGTTTGTCTTAAAACATTGATTATGGCATTTTAGCATTTTACAAAAATATGACAGCAGAAAGTTAGGTTATGGTGAAGTTGTTTACCAACATATTTAGCATATGTACAGCCTTTAACAGTTACTAAACAACAGTTGTATAAGTACTTCCGTTGGGAGCAATTTGTTGGCTAAAGTAGAAAATTGCACAGCAAAACAACAAGGCTCGGGTTTATTTTATAAACGTTACCATGGATGCCACAACACAACCATTTCGACTAACGTGCAAATATGCCGTATAAAATAGTCGTATAAACGTTTATGCAACAGTTAAAAATTTACCCTATAAGGTGTTGTATAACTATGCTATAAGAATATTTTAAACACTTCATTTTAGAGCAAATATGTTGCAGAAAACAAATCTGCATTCCACACAACATTAAGCCAGCATTTTTGTGTTCAGGCAACAACAATAGAGAGATTTTATGGCTGAACGGTTCTTTTACCAAAAGCTTGTACCACTACTTTGCTAGTTGGGTAGGTCTCTCTTGGGTAATAATTTTATTATATAAGGTAATCGCAGATGTTTTGAATCTGTTTCTCATATTGATCCATTTAGTATACCTAAAAAATGTTCCGAAATGTGATCATATTGTGTTATGCCATGAATACGCCTAGCACAACAATTATGAAGAATTTTAATTTTTCTGCGACTTTTCACATCCAAACTGCTATGGTAACTGTATATAGGTGAAAGGTACAAGAACTATGACAGTACAAGACTTTCACATAAAGTTGTTTTAGTGTCAAATACTTGCGAAAGGGATACAGAATCGTAAATGAAGAATAGGCATATTTTTTTTGAATCGAGTATTATTTTTTTTCTTCTAATGGTTTAATTGGATCGTTCGTCAACTTTGACGCTGAAATCGTTTTTGATTATTTCAAAAATGTTTTTCCGCGTTTTGCTCTATATTTTACTCAAAAATAACCAGAATAGCATTGCAGTGGGTGAAGCTTGTGCCCCTAGAGGCGTACAGCGCAACTCATTACCAGTTCAATGCCACCAGAGTTGTCGATCTGGCTTGTTTCGTCTCTCAGTAGTTATTACTTTCGGCAGAGCTGTTTCGCACTTGTTTCGTTTTTTACGATGGCAAGCTTCAGTGAAATTTTGTTTTCTAATGGGTAAAAATGCTGCTGAAACTGTGTTAATGTTGAAAACAGCTTACCAAGGTGATGCTATGGGAAAAACTCAGGTGTATGAGTGGTTTGCTCGATTTATAAATGGCGATATGTCGATTGATGACAAACCTCGCTCTGGACGTCCATCAACTGCCCGAATCGACGAAAATGTTGAAAAAATTCGAGAGCTTGTGCTATTTGGAGGTTGGACGATTGCGAAACAGTGCTCGGCAAAAAAGACCCGATTTGTGGCAGTCAGGTTCCGCTGCCTCACGCACCTTATTCGCCTGATCTGGCTCCATGCGACTTTTTCTTATTTCCACGGATGAAAAGAAGAGAAATTGAAGAGGTCAAGAAAAAAACGAGGGAGGAGCTGTCAGACATTTCTAAGGAAGATTTCAGAAAATGTTTTGAGCAGTGGAAGGAGATAAGGTTACTTTTTGAAAAAGTTGAAAACAAATAACTTTTAAAAAATAATTGCGTTTTTTTTGGGTACCCCCTCGTATGATCATCATATGGCTTTAGTAGTGGTAGTAATAGTAGTAGTGGTAGGGAGGCGAAGCCAGGCAACTAGGCCAACTTTGACCCTTTCTGCCGACCCCTTAGTATCAACACTGTACTACTCTACGAACCATCTACTGGTAATCGATAAAATGAAACAGCTCCTCGATGACATGTACCTGTTAATATTGCACAACGTGCTTGATGTAGACAAGGCAAGAAATTAACTTCCGAGGCGCTGACCACCAAGCTACCTAGGCTCTCATGATATGGCTTCACGCACACATTATAAAGGTTCACCCACACCGACGCGATACAGCGATAGCGGTAGCGTCAGCGTTAAAAATCGCATTTAGCGCGACAGCTGTACGTTCACACCACCGCGGTACGGCAGTTTCCCTATCTGCGCGATATTCTCATACGTTTTTTGAATTCTTATAAAATATGCCCTCTGATGAAGAAGAACTACTATTATTATTGGATTTAGCAGAAGATAAAATGTAAAAAAATGTAAGTCTTTTGATGATAATCATTAGTTAATAATATTTAATACATAAGCATTTTCCTGCAATTTTTATAGTTATCGTGACTTAAAACGTAAAATATTGGGTACTTCTCAAATTGTTCAATTAATTTCTCCGTTGAAGACATTGTGCAAACCGTGGCGATATACGATACGAACCGCGCCAGCAGTGTTTCGGAAATGAAACGCTGTCAAGCGATAAACCGCAGGCCATCCCACCGCGCTGGTGCGATCGATGTGATAAGCCGCTCTGAAAACTGGGCATCGCATGGACAGCAGTGCGATTATCGCTATCGCCTTACCGCTTTGGTGTGGGGGATCCTTTATACGAGGGCAGGTGACAGTCTGAGTATGTCAAAACACACACTGATACTCAATATACCTGGATATATAACAAACTTCCAGTTAATCTCGGGAATACCAGTAGTATTGCTAGAAAATATTTCTACCCTTTGTCTGAATAGGTCTCACTGGCACATATCCCATTTTTT